CGAAAGTACCGCTCCTACCGCATAATCCGAAGCATCCGCTGAAATTTTTAAATTTTCATCCTTTTCAGGAAATTTCAACACAGGGGCTTGCGTTAATGCTTGTTTTAATTTTTCGAAAGCACTATTGGCTTCGGCCGTCCACGAGAATCTTGCCTTTTTCCTTTTTAATTTTAACAATGGCTCAGCGATAGCCGCAAAATCTTTTATAAAGGACCTATAATATGAACAAAGTCCTAGAAAAGAAGAGAGCTTCTTTGCCGTGTTTGGAGTCGGATACTTTTGTACAGCGATTATTTTTGATTCATCTGTCTCGATCCCTTTTTGAGATATTTGTAACCTAAATATTTTAGTTCAGGGGCTGCAAATTTGCACTTTTCGACATTAACTTTTAGACCGGCCTCATTTAATAAAGAAAACACCTGTCTTAAATCCTGTATATGTTGGTCGAGATTATCACTAGTAATAATGATATCGTCTAAATAGATAAATGTGGACTTTCCAAGAACAGGTCTTAACACAATGTACATGCATCGCTGAAATGTTGCTGGGGCCCCTGAAAGGCCAAACGGCATACGCAAAAATGCATAAGTGCCAGACTTGGTTATAAAAGCAGTCTTAGGCACATCCTCAGGCCTCATCCCTATTTGAAAATAACCAGTCGTTAAGTCTAAAGTCGTCATAAATTTGGTTGATTTTATGTTCCTTAAAATTTCTTCTATGATCGGTAACGGATATACCGGATATTTCGTTATGGAATTTAATTTACGGTAATCAATAGCGAATCTCGCCCCTTTTTGGATGCTCCAACGGATAATCATTATTTTTCTTACATAAAACCACCGGGCTAGCATAACTACTTGAGATGGGCGTTATGATTTTTTTACGTAGCATATCGGTAATATGCCATTCTATAATTTTTTCCTTATTCCTATCATACCGGTATGGTTTTTGACGAACTGGCAATGCATCTCCGGTGTCAATACTATGGTTAGTAACCTGAGTAAATCCTGGAATATCACTAAATAACGGAAGCAAATTCACTTACCACTTGTCGGATTCTATCTTGCTCGTCATTAGGCAGGTGGTCAAGATTTAACCTTGGCGGTTCAACCCTTTCTACACGCACTGGTTTCATTGTCAGCTTAAGGGACGCTTCATTAAAATCCAGTGTAGCTTGTGCGTCTGAAAGAAAAGTCTATTCCTAAGATTAAATGTGCTTGCAGATTCTTTACTATAAAAAACATCACCTTTACTTGTTCGTCCTTGATACGGATATACACAAAGGTACTTTACCTACGCACTTACATTTTTCTCCTTGCGCCGCTAATACTGTCGTATTATCCGCATTATATATGCGGTATTTGCGAAAATACATTCTAAAAAACTCTTCTGCCACACAGGAACACTGCGCGCCGGTATCCAGGAGTGCGGTGGCCGGGATATTATTCACCAATATTCAATCTTCGGAAGCGTCAAATTTTTCACCTTTACGGTATTTAACTTGTAGGAAGAGGGGTTTTCGTGGCCTTCGGATTTCCGCACCCTGTCGTCCGCAGAAATCCGTTTTAGTTTAAATTATTTTTCCTTTCCGTGCTTTCCTTCTTTTTCCACTGGCCTTGAGACTTTTTTCCTGGGTTGCTATTGAACTGTCGACGTTCGCCGGCTGTTTTTGAATGCTCGGGTTTCCTTGCCCACTGATTCGCTTTTTCTCCGTAGCCATGTGCTTGAGTTTGCTGTAGTCTTGGCGTACCAAATTGGTTTCGCTGTTGATATTGGCGTCTTCTTTCGACGTCCGCCGTTCTTCTACTTTCAAACTGGATTGCTAGCTCAAATAACTTTTCCAGTGTAGTCGGATTTCTTAATTCAATAAAGTCTTGCACTTGGGGGCAGTAACCTCGGCAAAATCACTTGAATTATTTCAGGATCCGGACGGTTTCCATACAAGAGCTTGAAAACGTGAATTTTTTCTTAAAATAAAGCTCGAGAGGTTTTCGATTCTTTGTTGATATATACTAAAAAGTTCCGTTTTCTAATTTCGCACGATCCCTTACAACAGGGAAGGCTTTTAGTAGGGCAGTCTTGAAATTTTCGTAAGTATAGGTGGGACTTCCTGCTTGACCCAAGAGACTTCTGCCGATACATTTGAACCAGTTAAGCGCTTGGCCCCTCAAAGCGCTGGTAGCTAAGGTAACTTTTTGAAACTCGTGCACGGGGTAGAGCATGAGCATGAAGTGGTCATCCAATTTTTCCAAAAAACTGGTTACGGTGAGTTTCCGTTTAAACGTTGCTTCTGGTTTCATCGAAGCGCGCATGGTCTGGACGATGTAACCGAATCCTTCCAGGGCGGGCAGCTGGCTGGATTCGGAGCTGGCATTTCTGGATTCTGAGCCGTTTCTGCAGGCAGCACAGGTTCTTCTTGAAACTCGGCATGGTTATTCTTCGTTCGTTGGCGCCACTATCAGGTTCAATTGTTCCTTCTAACCTTTCTTCGGGAACATACAAGGACCTGACTCGGAACAGAGAGCTTACTAAAGCTATGTTCACTAATTGTGGTAAGTAGACAGGATACAGACGAAGGGTATACAAAACCCTTTATTTTTCTCTTATATACAATAACTTCCGTACTTCGGAATACAATGACCCGCCACTCGGGGTCTAACGTAAAAGTATAAAATAAAACTAAACTCTAATTTAACTTTAGAATAATACACGTGGAAGATTGGCCTTATAATAACAGGAAAGCGTATGTAGCACAGAGACTGTGAACACTACAATACGTTTAATTTATCAAGAAGATTAAAACCTCTGGCCTGGAAGGCAAACAGCAACTGCGTAACTTCTAAGGTAAGCGGCCTGCGTTCGAACTCACTGCTTCCTCTCTTCGCTTGGCAAAAGGCCACACTTTAAATACTTGGCGTTCGCCAGACAAACTTTGCATAAAAACCTTCACGCTTATAATTCTGGCCGGAAGTAGAAAATAAGAAGTGATAGTAAAGATTTAAAATAAAATAAACTTTAGTAAAACTTAAGATCCTTACAAGACACCTAGATTTTCAAGACTTCTGCAATATTATTGAATTCATTTCTTTTCTTTCGATAAGTACTGTTACCTGTCGAAAGAATATTGTCTCTTTTAAAGAGTGTGGGATGCCCCCCCAAAAAAAATGCATTCGTTGCGTAACTTCGTCAAAGACACATTTTCGATTTGACCTTAGAAAAATATAAACTGTAAATAAATTGAGAGAATTTTCCTATTTGATCTACGATCTCCAGAACTACTGGACAGATTTTAATAAAATTTGGTGTGAACATAGGTTGATATAATGCAAACAAAATAAACATTCAACAGTTATAATAGACACAAAGTTTCGTGCGTAACACTCATGGGAGTCTGAAGGTCTGAAACAGTGGTTGCAGACGACACAAAAGAAATACGTTAATAGGGGTTTGGTCCCCTCTTACAGCCCTACAGGCCTCACAGCGTGATGTCATACTGGAAATAAAGCAGTTTATCAGTGTCTGTGACAATTGGTCCCACTCATTCAGTAACGCTGTTTTCAGTTCCTGGATGGTTCTCGGAGGGGGTTGCGAGTTGCAATTGCCCTCTCCAGAGCATCCCAGACATGCTGTATGGGTTGAGGTCGGGAGACTTGACTGGCCAATCCATCCGGCGAATATCCTCACTCTCTAGAAATTCGTCGACCAGAACAGCTCTATGTGGCCTCGTGTTATCGTTCTGTGAGATGAACTCGGGGCCCACTGCACCCCGGAAAAGGCGAACATAGGGCTCCAAAACCTCATCCCTATACCTCACTCCAATAACAGAGCCTCTGTCAAAGACGTGGAGAGGTGTGCGGCCATCCAACATGATGCCTGCCCAGACCATTACACCGCCACAGCCATAACTGTTGATTTCGCGGACATTGGAGGGTTGGTAGGGGGTCCCTGACTCTCTCCATATGAAATTACGGCTAGAATCGGTGTTTAGGCTAAAACGGAACTCGTCGGTGGACAGAACATTCGCCAGTCAGTCGAACAGCAGGACAGCAGAACAGTCGAACAGCAGGACGGAAACAGCTCTTCTGGCAAACGACCCTCTCTCATTCAGGCTTTTGAAAACAGTCACCTTTGTTACACGAGTTCCTGTGGCTGCATACAGGTCCCGAGAAAGCTGAGAAGCTGTAGCCCTCTGTTACGCCTGGCTAAAATGGACAAATAGCGAATTTCTCTGGCCGTTGTGGCTCTTGTACGACCTTGCAAAGGCTTTCTCTCGATGAATCCAGTATCCTGGAACTGTTTCCATAGGTTTACATACGACGCTGGGCGTTAAATTAAACCCTCTGCATATCTGGACTTGCAATTGGCCTGCCTCTATTCTCCCTACAAGTTGACACCTTATTCCATCATCTAAACGTTGGTGGTTAATCATTTTTACTGTTCGGATGTGAATTTTACCGATTGCTGCAAGATAACACGAAGAAATTCGCGGAGGTGTACTAGCAAACGCAATTCGTCTTACCCTCCACGCGCTTATAAAGCCTGTTTTTCTGCTGGCTCCGCCTACACACACGTGTACGCTTATGTATTTGCCGTACGAGATTTGCAGTTTTATCTAGAAGCAGTGCTTTTCCCTTTTTTCCTTCAATTCAGCTCTTTTCATGCAATTCGATAAAATATATAAATTCTTTTAATTTATTTCACCAGTGTAGTTTCTAAGATGCACTGAAAGTTTTGTAGGAATCATTATACTAAATAATAGTAATAAGCTTAATATATATATATATTTATCTACTTACTGTTTTTATCATTCACGTGTCTCATTTTTATGAAGGTGACTCCATTCTTGAAACTTCTGTAACGGAGTATGTAAATATCAGAAACTTCATTTTTAGCTCCAATAAAGGAAAATTAACATATGAAGGAGAACTGAAGAAGGAATTCAGAAAAACAAGTGGGAATGAAATTGCGTGAAGTATCTGTCGTAAGCAGTCCTTACATTATTAAGCTGTTTGAAATGGCAACAGTAAATTTGAAAGGGGAAGGAAAAAAAAACTTACAGGCGTCATTTTTTTATTTACATCCTAATAATCCTGCACTGTCAGGTGTTTTTCCCACTGCAATCGAAGTGAGTATTTTCTCTGTCATCGTAATTTAAAACTGATAAATTTAAGATGCTGATTTTTATTCGATGGTTATATTTACCGTTTTTTGATAGTTAACTGCTTTTTATTTGATTGATAACAAAAGAATAATATTATTAATCATTAAAATAATTCATACTTTTTGTTGCTATTTGAATCATATTTATTTTATGTACATATAATCAAAGTAAGATGAATTGTTTTAACGAGATGTGATAAATTAGCAGATAGCAATCTCACCGAATTTTCTCGACAGATGTCTATTTTTATTTGAAGAAACTATTATTGAAGGTATTTAAAAATTGATAAAATGTATGGATTACTAGGTGTTTGTCATAGGAACGAATTTCTAGTCACATAGATATGTATATAAATTATATACTAGGTTCTTCGTTAATATTTCTATACTTGCTTAAGCATGGTATGTTTAATTTAAATCTTTCAAAAAGCTGCTTTAGTATCGAAGTATGACATGAGTGATTTAAATGTTTAAAAAATTAACCTGAAGATAAATAGTATCTCGCAGAGTTTTATCTTTTCCTCTAATGTGTGTGATTGTCTTTATATATGGGTGATATTTTCTCTTAAGACTATTGGGAATAATTTTAGACAAATATTATAGTTTGATTTTTAATATTTAGGATTGTGTTGTTAAATTAACATGTCATTTCATCATGTTATCAAACTGCTTTTAATTTTTATCAAATTTCAGTTTATTTTTGTAGAATCAAATCATGCATCAAAGAATATGACAAAATATGCCTCTGTTCTGAGATTTTTTGATCGAATAAAATGCAGCATCAAGATGTAGAACAGTATCTACAAAGGTAGGTAGCTTTCTTAAGTATTGTTTTTAAAAATTTATGTTATGTATTCAAATTTGTTAGATTTTGTATATGTATGTTTTAACTGTATTATCTATTAATATGCTCTTTGTTTAGTCATGTTAAATGTGATTTTGTAAAATGGACTAAATTTAATATGATGTTTATGTAAATGTAAGAATGGATTTAATTCTAGAATTCAATAACCTTTTTTCTGTTTGTTTTGAACTTGAGAATCTTTTGTATTGGTAAATGCTTATATTCTCTCTTAGCTTTTGCATTCATTCTTTTATATTCAAATTATCATTCAATTAATACAAATAAAAATTATAATGATTTGATGCTGTATGAAAGGACTAATTAATTTTGAAGTTTCAATGCATGCTACAGTCAATTTGTATCTGTCATCTAGATGCCAAATTCTTTGAAATGTATTTAAAATATTTTAGTCTAATTTGTATGAAATTTAGAGTACAAATAATTAGTGTAAAAATTTCTAACTTGTACAAAAGCCTTTTATGTAGAAGTTTAAACGTTTTTTAAAGGTCTGACAATATTGTAAAAGGTATGCCATATGTGTACCCTTTATCATGTAGTATTTCTTTATTATTATTAATTAGGCTTTTCTGCATGGAAATGTGTATCTGTATCGTGAAGAACTTTTGCTTTGCTATTGTATAAATTGAATTATAATGGTATATTAAAAAAAATTTTCATATCCAGTAACACAAAAGGGGGGACCTTTTTTTCCAATGCAGTGTGCCTAGAAAATTATCTAGAAAAATTGTTTGTAATGAAACTTGCTCTGAGGAATGAAGAGACAAAGGATGAAACTATTAAAATGGAATAGCAAACAGTCCATTTATTGAACAACCATTGGTCCAAAACCAGTTTATCTTAATGAGTATACATGAGTATATTTTGTCTGGGTATATATGAGTATATTTTGTCTGGCATGGATATACATGAGTATATTTTATCTGGCATGGATATACATGAGCGTCAGTTGGTATTTGGTAGAATTTGTTGCCATATACTTTGTAATTGTTCAGTAAATTTATTGTATATTGTGAAATGATTATAGCTGTTACTTCAGCACCTTGCCAGCATGTTTGATTCGAGAAAGGTGTGGGGATTGGTAAGCAAAGAGAAGGTGCCCTAAAAAAGCTGGCTTGCACTTGAGGAAAATGCTGAAAACTGCCATGCAGTTTACCTATTGAATCTTGATAAACATGTCGGTAATAGCAAGACAACAGATTTACAGTCGATATATCATCAGGTTATTGAAGTGCTGCAAAGCATCACTAAAGGTATACTCACTTAATAGCAGTTGTTTGTCAAATGCCAACACTAAGTGTGATGAATATATGCTGTTACACAGTAACATGGCATGAGCTACATTGGCTGTCTCCTTCACTTCTAAAATTAGTTATTAAAGCAAAGTAGAAGTAGTAATTCATTGTTGAACATTACTGGGCTTCAGTTCAGTACAATCCAAGTTTCACAGCTGAGATACCAAAAGAAGCTTTACTGTCACTGCCCTGGAGTTAATAATTGTTTTAACAAAAGATACCAGTAATAATTTCCAAACTCTGATAGTATTTTTTTGTAAAGACAGTGTAAAACTATGCTACTTTTCTAGATGGATATTTATTACAGTATATCCAGGAAAGTGAAAAAGTATTTTCTAAATGGTCAGTGGTGTAGCTATTGGTGGGGCAAGGGGGATTGTCTGTCCCCAGGTGCAGCATCCAGGGGTGCCAAACTGATATAAAGAGATTTTAGAATGAAAAGTTTTCCATTCTTGACACACAAAAAGGGGCGCAAAATCTTCAGTTGTCTCCGGGTGCTGAAAATCCTAGCTACGCATCTGTAAATGGTAGATAACAAAGCTGTTAGTATACTTGTAATGGCTCCCATACTTGCATGATTCTCCTAAGAAGTCTTATCTGTGCCTGCTGGTGAATTGACAACAAGAGTGGAAGCTATATAGAACCATTGCATCACCATCTAACTATGTCTTCTCCAACTCTTGTATCAACTAATTTAGCTGTATGATTAATCTGTTTTCCCGAAAACAGTGTATCAAATTCTCTTTTTTAGTTGTATTGCAGCTTAGGAATATTTAAATCATTCTCATATGTTAATGCAAGCATTTCATTGGAGTTCTAGTTATTGCAGTGACTTTGTAGTGTACCTTATATGTGCTTTGCGTGTACATATTTCTTTTATGCCTACATATTGTAATTGCCCAGATGGTGTAGTAAGAGAAGGCATAGATGTTTGTAAGCATGTACTGTCTATGTGGCAAGTGGCACTTAGTTATTTTCAGTTCAAATACATATTTAAAATAATTATATAGGTATCATTTCCCCCTTAAATATTTTTGGTTGATCTTTGGATTATGGTAACTTGGCAATTTTTTGGCGAAAATTTGGCAACCAACTCTGCTACAGCAGCCCTCTATTTTTTTTTCGCCGCCATTTTGTCTTCACGAAGTAAAGACATGTTTCTTTTCTTTTTATTTACTCAACACTTTTCCAACAATCTACTAGCCGAATTACACATGATGCTAGAAATTTTATGTAACAAAACTGCTTAATCATGACAAATAACTGCAAAATTGGGAAAAAGTGCAGAATCGCAACTCCTTACGCGTTTTTCAGAATAGCACATAAACGATACACGTCGACTTATTTTTACTTAAAAAAACATCCCAGAATTACACAAAAAGGCATGCAACACCCTTAACTCCTCTACACTGCTATTTCTCATAATACAAAATTTGCATACGAAAATGCAAGAAAATTTTCTTAATCTTTAAACTCGTCTAAAAGCACATATATAAATACCGATCCGCAAAGACATCCCCTTTCCAAGTGAATTTCCACGTAAATAAAAAATACCAAAAGACCTCTAAATTATAGTTAACGTCACTACGAATTTATCACTTAATTACAAATATTATGTCAATATTTAAATTTATACACGTTTACTTCAACTGAACGTTCCAAATTCCTACAAACATAAAATTCACAAAATAACTATCATTAATTAAAAATCACTAACCATGTACACGTTACTTATTTTTACTTAAAAAAAATCCAGAATTGCACAAAAATGGCATTGCGCACACTCTTCACTATATCCATGTACACTGCTTTTTTGTCATAAATTAGAAAAGTTTCATGAAATGCATGAAAATTTTATGAATCTTTAAATCCTCCGGTAAAAGAACATATATGAAATTACCTCATCGCGAAAAGTATTACCCTTTCCAAGGATGAACATTTCCACGTATAAAATAAATAAAATATCCAAAAACTTTTACCTCTAAATTATCTATTATATTGTAAACGTTAGCAATGAATTCTACGCAAACATTAAAAATAGTTACAAATACTTAGTGTCAAATATTTTAAATTATTCCATACACGTTTACTTCAACTGAAACTATACCAAATTCCTACAAACATAAAATTCACAAATAACTATCATTTAATTAAAATATCACTAAACCAATGTACACGTCAACTTATTTTTACTTAAAAAAAATCCAAATTGCACAAAATGGCATTGCGCACACTCTTCACTATATCCATGTACACTGCTTTTTCTCATAAATTAGAAAAATTTCACGAAAATGCATGAAATTACTCAACGTATACTACTTAAACGTATTCCAAAACTACAAATATATAACTCACAAATCACGATCATTAAATAAAATATAATTAAATTAAAAAACACTACTTAAATAAAATAAGCACAAACATTAAATTAATAAAAATTAGATTACAATCCTAATACGTTAAACTAAATCATTGCTAATACAATTTTCCAATCAATACCACATTAATTATTTACTCCTTACATTTAGAACAATGCAAAAAATATATCCTCAAATGATTAAAAATACTAACTTACCTAATCTTCTTCAGAATCTTCATTACGAGGCTGCAGTACTACTGCTAATTTCAAATCCTAAATCCAGTAGTCAACTGGAAGTCTATTCACCAAGTATAAGAAATTAATAAATTTCACCTATACTCAAACTACAATTCAGCAAACCACCACGTACCCTTCCTTACACCCCTTTTCACAAAATGTCCCATTTCACCATATTTCTTGCACCGCCATTTAAACTTAAACTGTAATATCCTCTTTACACAATCTCAATTATTATTATTATCAGATAAACGCATTAAAAAATTTAGAGGCACTTTACATAGCGCCATGCAATCCGAAAATTAATCAACTATGTCACACAACACACAATGAAGCTTTCAAAATTAACCCCCTTTTCCGATTAAAGAACTGTAATTCGTCCATTAATGTCACGTTCACACACAGAATATAGTAAATACGAAATTCCAGATTTCCCCCCCTTTTCCGATTAAACAACTAATTTGCCCATTAATGTCACATGACATATTCAATCTCTCATTTCCCCCACACAAAAGCATAGTTGGGAACTGAGTGCTTCTCACGGGACCAAAGTCCTAGGTAGTAACCTTTATCGCCTCCAAAATGTCGCCAAACTACCAGTTACCATATTCCAAAGCTCAGCCATATTTTCTTTGTTATATAATTTTGTGATAAATATTAGATAATGCATAGTTGGATAAAATTATTTAGACATTAAAGCATATTAATACTTCTCCTTATAATTATGCCCAATTCTGAATTAATTTTAAGAATTATTATTCTGTTCAAATCAAAAGTTGAATAATTTATAAAACTGGAAACTTATCAAAGTTGTGCATTGATGAAACCTTTTATTGATATACAGCTTTGTAAGTTTTCAGTTACTTTTGAACTGATTTGTTTTGCTGCAGCTGTACATTTTATTGATAAATTATATCCTTTGTCCTGATATTATGCTGGGTTATAAAAATTATTCTTTGTTAAAGCTAATCAATCCTAATAGATTATTTTATTTATATTATGTGATTAAAGTTATTTTTTTTTTTTTGTATCTTTGTCATTGATTGAATTTTCCTCAATTTCTTTCTTTCAATTTTACACTGAGATTATCTCTTTTGTTTTACTAAAAAGAAAAGTGAGGAAATCAATATAATAATGTACTTCAGTACTTTCAACAGTAATGAATGCTTTCAGATTTTGAAAGAATTACAAATTGCAAGTTTTTTCTATTGAGCTTATTGTTTAACTTTGCTTCACCACTAAATAAAAAAAAAAAAAAAAAAAAAAAATAAATAAAAAAAAAAAAAAAAATAAAAAAAAAAAAGTGTTTGAGAAAACCATTAAATTGGCCAACAATATATTTCAATACTTTCAACAACATAAGCAATATGTTTAGATTTTCACAGAATTATAAAAGTTCAACCTTTTAAAATCATTGTTTGTTTTTGTTTCTTTTTTATTAGATATATAAGATTTCAGTCATTAGATGTTCACCCTACACAAAATGCACTAATTGTAAACTATGATGTGGAACCTAACATGCTGGCCCACTTAGGAGACATGGTGATGAAAGATTCTCGAGAATGTCAAAAACTGTAAGGACTTTAACTGCTGTGTCTTTCATTTACTTTTTCTAGAATTATCTTACTTGAAATTATTTATGTAAATGCTAAATGTTACAAATTTTTACTATACGTTAATTCTCTAATTTTGAGGGCAATCTGATATAGGTCTTTTTTATTCTTCAGAAGCAAAATATTTGTGGCTGGCAGCCCACGAGACATAAGGAAAATCCTTGAAACTCCTTGTTCTTTGCAAAAAAGTCTAATAGTAAAGAGAAACATAAGGCAATATGATATGTAAAATTTTTGGAAAAATTATTTTGGTTCTAAAGGTAGGACTTCTGAAGAAGATAGCCCTTTGTCAGACTGCCTCTCAAAGCTAATAGATTTTTAAAATTTATATCAATTTATAGTTGCTTTTTCATTTAATTTACTTTATTATGTTTCTTTTATAATTTGACATTGCATATTTGGATATTATAGAAATCTACTAAATTAAATTGAAATACCTAGAATTTATTTTAGTTCTGCTACAGAGATATATTATTCAGTTTAGGCTGTAGAAATGCATTAAATTGAAACAAAAATACAAAAAAGAATTTGAACGTAAATGGTATAACAAGCTGATGCAAACCAGTGAATTAGTTATCACTTGCTTTTAATGAAATATCTTTTACATTAGAACATAAGAAATGCATATTATTATTTTGTGTGTCTAAATTATAAACATGTTGTATTCTAACTGAATTCAAAATTTATAACCTGAGTTTCTTATATCTAAATTTTTTTAAATACATGTATCTCTTAAAAATATTTGTGTAGGTTGAAATACTTTTGTGGCCTAAATATTTTTAATGCATTATTTTTCTTGTATTTCTTGCAATATTTTTCTTGTATGTACTATGGCAGTATGTTGAAATTATACAGCAGTCTGTATAAATATCAAAGGCACAATTAAGTAAATGAAAAGTATAATTAATTAAAACATTGCGTATCAAAAATTAACTTTCCTCAATTTCTTTAATTTAAAAATCTTAAAATTTTGTTTTTTGTTGATTGCATATATTTTGTGTGATTGATTACATTATTACGTGTATTTAATATGGACCTTTTTTTCGGTTTTGTTAAATTTAGTATTATTTAAAATTTTTTTTTATGTCTACACTATGTTTTCATTTTTTAAATAATGAAAAATTTAATAAAATTTAAATCGTAATTGAAAATAATTAGTTATTTTTTTTTGATAAATTAATTTTAAAATGCTTTTTATAAGATTCAATCAAAATGTGTTGTATAATCTATAGATTGTATCAGTTTATCCGAAATCATCTTTGGCAGTGGCATTTTTGATTGTCAGATAACATTAAATTTGCCGTTGTAGAACAAGTCTTTGTCTGCTGCTTGAAAAAGGTGGTTATGAGCATTTTGGCATCATCATATGAAAAGAATATTCATCCTTTCATGGAATTCTTCAAATGAGCAACAATATGGAAGTCTCACAAAAAGGATCTGGACCATAAAAGTGGTTGTGGGTCTCCCGTCTGATAGCACTTATCATTTATCTCATGATAATGGCAGCATGTTAACTTAAACTTTTGGAGAAAACTGTGACTTCATGATAGAATTTTTCAGGTTGTTTCATCTTAATTGCACTTTATAACCTTTCCATTGTTTCTCAGTAGTATGACCCAGCAATTATTCCATGCTGGTCTCGTCTGGAGATGCATTTGGTAACTGTATTGCCACCATTTGTTATTTGTCTGTTTCACACAATTCTCGAGGTGAGAATACATTGCTAATCACATGTCTAGATCAAAGCTTCTGTATATATATATATAAAATCCCTGGATTCAACATTTTGCATGCTAATATAGTGTTCTCAGACAAACTTCTTGATCAGACCTTATAATTTGAATGCAATATATAATATAAATTCACTTTACCTTTAATCTGATTTGGTATTATCTTGTCTGATTATTTAAATCTTTTTTCCTTTTTATTTATTTTAAACTTTTTTATTGATAGTGTACGACTAAGAGGACCATTTGAAACAGACCAAATTAGAATTTTAGCTCAAATTATTATAGATAAATGTCCATTAGTGCCACCTTCAAAAGTAACTGAAGTGGAGCAATTACTTTACTATCTATATACAAGAAGGGAAACTTCAGAAGAAGGTAAAAATGCAAAATTGTTAATTATTATAAAGAATTTGATATAAGGTATAGATTTTTTTTAAATCAATATTGGAAAAAATATAAAATTTGAAGTGTTAAGAAAAAAAAAAAAATGTTTTTGAAGCATAATCTTATTATTTGAAATAATCTGTTACAATGAAACATACAAATAGATTCCATGATTTTAAACTAGTTCTGTCTTCTGTGTAAGTATTGCTGTGAAAAATATGACAGTTGTTAAAGTTTAATGCCTGGGCTTATTTGTATTCTCAGAATTATTATTTACTTTCAGAGGTGACCTACCAAAATATTTTCTTTTCGAAACTGTTCTTCATTGCTTACATCTTATAGTATTTTCAGTGATCTATTTAAAATTCTTCAGATTATCTAATTTCAGTATCCATTTTTCAAGTACAAAAACAGCTGGGCTAAAAATCAGAAAATTCTTTTATGAACCAGACTTTTTTTAAACCTTGCAAGTATGTATTTAGAAACCATTATTATATGGTATTGCATACATTTCTGTTTATACACTAACATCTTCATGACTATATAGAGCAGTACCAATAAAATTCATATCAACTATACTTAAAAAATCGGAAATATTTACTGAATATGGAACATTCTCTGAAGTGGATACTGTAGTGAAATACAGGACTGCCCTGCACAGTCTGTGATGTATGATCACTTACAATTGATAATGAAACATATTTAGACTTTACCGATTATCTAACTATTAAATAAAAAATAATTTGAATTCTTTCCCTTGAAATGTTTTAGCTTTGTATTGGCAATTTTGAAAATTACCACTGTAATCACTACAATTTTTTTTTTTTTTTTTTTTTAAATTCAGAAATTAAATAACTAAATATAGCACTGTGTCTGTGTTCCGTCCTCTTGACAGACAATGCTGCTTGTGATATCAGTCACAATTTTCCTACATGTTATGTTTTTGTTGAAGTGTGGGCTCTGGCAACAGAATAAAAAATGTAAAATGATATATTTAGGTTAGAAACATTCTATTTTGAATAATGAAATAAAATGTGTATATAAACATAATATTTTGGTGCCATTGTTGTCTGAAACTAGAGGCAAGTGCAGTTTTATTTTGGTTTTATCATATCATTTAGAATTTTATTTCCTTGCTTGTGCATTTCACTCACCACCTTGGATTATGCCTCTTAAATTATGCAGTCAAAAGTCTTTAATCTGGACTCGTGGGAACTTCAGCGATTCCGGATTATCGATTTTTCCGGATTATAGATCATCAGTTTAAATCTGATAAGATAGCATGCAGAAATTATAAAATTAAAAATATGAAACTGTAATTTATGAAATAAAGAGCAATTATGATCTAAAGGGTATCAAAATTTAAAAAAAAAAAAGCTTTATTTATTTTGTTTACTTTACTTTATTAAACATTTCTTTCAATGCGCGCATGCGTAAAGCATACATTATGCATAGTCGAAATTAGAAAATTGCAACCAGAAAACTATTTGATGTGTATTTGTGATATTTATAATGATGAGGAATTTGATTTAAATTATATCAAAGATGGAGTACATCGAGATGTACTACATTTAGTAAGGAATTATAAGCTGAATAAAATAAAAACATCTGCCCTGAAGATAAGGATAGTGCTGACAAATCAAATTCCAGTTCATTGTGTGCCGCTTCCTTTCCTTCCCCCTCCCGCAGAGCAGCGTGAAATTGATAAACATATTTCGGAATGATTAAAGAATCAAAGGATATGCCTTTATCCATTTTTTGCAACAATTCCACTTTTTGTTTGATGGACATCGGAACATGCTTTCGTTTTGTAGATCCTTTGGTAGCTCCAGAATCGGAAATTCTTTTCGACATAATCGAAAGTTCAAGCTTACTCTCATAAAATTGCTCTAACAGTCTGCAAAAAATAATAAGCCGGATCCAATTAGAAGATTAAGGAACAATGCAATCTGCAACATTAACTGAAATAGATAATTAGATAATTTTAGCTTGGCTTATACCGTCCGTTATACATTAAGCGCACATGGGTAAACGTATTATGCGCATGCGTACAGGTATTATGCACATGCTTTAACGCATTATGCGTTAACGCATGCGCAGAAAGTTTGTAGCTTTGAGGTCCGGATTATAGATCATTCCGGATTATGGATGTCCGGATCAAAGACTTTTGACTGTATTATATTATGCCTCTTAAACAAATGTGAAAGACTGTTAAAGCAAATATTACTCACTTCATTATGAAGTTGATAGATGCTAATAATGATAGTTCCAGAAATGTGATTATCAACTTTCAGATTTTTTTGAGTGAAACGAAGTTATTGGATTGCAGCATTCATCATTTATTCTCTGGTGCTGAATATGAATCTGTTGTTTTACAATGTGAAGAATATATATATAATTGTCAAATTTGTTATTTTTAAGCCACATGAAAGCTATTCAAATTGTCATAAGGCTAATAATTTTCCAGTTTGCTGTTGTCTCATCTGTGAATCAGACCAGACAGTGCATTTTAAAAAGGGAGAATGACCATTAAATATGTAAATTCAACTTGGACTGAAGAAAATTATAAGTGCACTCCTTCATAACTGAAATTGGGTTTTATTGGTACCTTTTCACATAAATTAGATAAATTTTCCTTCCTTCACTTAAGAAGTAATGGGTTGATTTCAACTATATTTCTACCCGAGTCGCAGGATGAAAAAAATTATATACTTTGCTCAGCTAAACAAGGGTTTCGAAAAATGGTTTGTCCACCTTTCTTGGATTTCCCTGTTCTCTCTTTCTCTTGTAGAAATTGGGATATCTTGTATCATTACTCCCAATCTTTTGTTTTCTCTGTTCAACATCCCTTGATATCCACTATTTGTCCGCTCCTTCTCTCCTCTCTGTCAGCTGGGTACTCTCTTTCTTTCCTAATAAAATAATGTGCTCAGTCATGAGCACTTTTCTACGGCCCAGGAATTGGTTCTTTTTCATAAAAAGGCAAATTGCCTTGGTTTTACAACATTTCCATATTCAGTGCCTTGGAATCATCTTCTACAACTTCAAAAAAGGAAGCATTTTTTTCAAAATCACCTTTTTTTCTGGAATGTTCTCCACTTTCTTTGCTTCAACTGTAAGCAAGTAATATAATTGTTATTTCCTTGTACAGTGTATATACACAGTCAGAAACCATTTCTTCCAATTAAAACCTTTTAAATGCTTGTGAATTATAAATTTGCCTTATAATTAAAAAATGATACAAATCCTCTCCTGTTTCAAATAAGAAAAAATTTTTGTTTACCAGAACTTTTTAAGAACTTTTTTTTTTTTTGAAGGATAGGTAGTTTGGGAGAAAATTTGCCTTCCAGTCTGACTAAAATAACTTTAATCCAAATTTAACTCGCATGTAACCCTTTCAAACCTCAATAAAAATCAACAATGAGGTGTCTTAGAGGGGAAAACTCATTTATTCTAAAAGAAAATAGGATAACTTGAAGTGGTCTACGTGACACTCCAACACAGAAAAATCAATGTACAAATGTAATGATAACAACTAAAAATAAGGGAAGTCGCATGAGAAATAACAACAGACTTGTCAAATTTTAGATCTAAACTCTAGTTAAATGGCTCTTCAAAAAGGGGAAAAATTTTTTTGAACAAATTCACTTAAAGTGATAACTGAGTACGGACCATCCAGCCTAGTATTCCGAAAGGTAACCAGGAAATTGGGACAAATAAATTGTTAACTCAACTCAGTGGAGCTCCCTTGCAGTAAAGTACACAAAAGAATAGCTGTAAACATGCACAGCCATTAAAAGCACAAAAATAATGCAGCTAAATTCTTGGAGAAAGAAAAAAATAGCTATGTACAGAACACAAAAATGAAATTAGATCTTATCTCCCACTTACAAATAATACACTAAATTTCATAACTAAAATGTAAATCAGTTAATCACAAACAACTCAAAGAGATCTCTGTATAAACACCTTGTAAAGAAACATTTCAAAACTCTTCAGTTTCACTAAGATCATCTGAACCATAAATCTTTAATTAAACTCCGCATTGTTGTTAAGGGAGAAAGTGAAAGACTAAAATTCAGGTTAGTCAAACAAAAGATAAATTCACAAAATAAACCATGCTGAAACTCAATAAACCCACAATTTTGTACTTGTATGAAATCTTTACTGCATTAAATGTTCCTGAGATGATGTATACATGAAATACAATGAAATGCATACAAATACATACAATGAAAGTAGCATTCTTTATCATCACCTCTTGAAGATATATTGAAAGCCCCTTACTGCATCCAGTTAGCTATGAAGTGCACCACAATGCAAATGACTGTCTTTAGCTTCATTCCTATAGAAACTACTAGAAACATTGAAACTGCAATATTGCATTCAGTATTGTGGGAGAGATGTGCATTGCATTTAAAGTTGGCTATCATTAGCACCATCCCTGTTCAAAGATACATTGATAATTCTCTCAGACAAGTGTCTTGTTCTCCCATTTGTAGTCAGGTAATAATAATGAAGCATCTGCATTGCAATATGGTTAGCAGCTGGAATCATGACAACATAAGCAAGACTAAAGTAACTGTAAGGATTAAAAGCAAAATTTTTTTAAAGAAAGAAATGCTTAAATTAAAAAAACTACTTATAAAACAAAAGTCTAAGATGCCTAAATTCTCACAAAATTTTCATAACTCTTTCCAATAACCAGAAGTAAACACAATTCCTTGATATACACTAAGATATTGTACATGAAATGGATGAAGATTTTGAATTTTGCCATACAGAAACCATTTATATTAAACTTTCTCAAGATAGAGAAATGCCCACTAATGATTCAGAAATTTTCAAAAGTTTCCACAATTCCTTCTAAATAACAGAGAGAAATCGAGTTGTGAAATTGCTATGGAAATAAGATGACACCTATCTTCTAACAGTTATGATGTAGCCCTGAAACGTTAGGATATTTAACACAGAAAACTGTCTGTTAATCCAGATATACAGTATGTTTAAATGGAATACATGAAAGACTATATTTATAAGAATCAAGCTGAATTTATCTGTGATGCAATCACCCAAGATTTTAACCTTACTGTCTCTCATCATACAGTTTAAAAGCAGATAAATAAAGAATCAAAATGGTGCAGAGTATTTGATGCACTTTCTCATGCACAAAGAAATCCTTTTCTGAATGAAAGAAGGCCCACCAGCGGCCGAGCGGTAACGTCGCTGAACACTGGTAGTTCCGTCCAAGGTTCGAATCCCGTGAACGGGCTGGCTGCATGGGCGTTTTCGTGGTTTTCCCCATGTGTAACGTGTATACGAGCCAGTTTCCCTTAGAAAGCCCTCCACGAAGGCATCCCTCATCTTAGGCAGAATCACAAAATATCACAAAATATAGCCCTCGAGGCTTTACCATTATAACACACATACACACTCTGAATGAAAGAAATCCTACACTATGTGACCAGAGGATATGCTACAATATAATATGCTTAGGTACTTTAAATCTTGTTTAGGTACTTTTTAATATGCTTAGGTAATTAGGTGAGTAAAAGTAGACTTTAGTGGCGACAACATACAGTATACACATGAAAAATGTTAACAAATGTTAGTTCTAAGAATTTTTAATTTTGAAAGCATAAACATTTTAATATCGTTTAAAATTTTATAAAAATCCAATAAATAAAGACAATAAATTTGTAAAAAGATATTAATTTAAGAATTTACTATGCTTTCATGGTTCAACATCCTGATTTGCCGGTTCGTATCACGTGACCTCCCAAGTGTGATGACATCTTAATTGACTTAATTACCGCGAGTGGCCTTAGGGCATAAAATTTAACTAGCTGGCCAAAATTCTATTCATTGTATGCCAGTATTGAAAGAAAATTTAATAAGAAATGCCTGCGACTTGCTTTGAAAATGAGGTGTAAAAGGTTACCAATGAGGATATTCCATTTGGCATCAGTTGTATCATTATTGGCGACTTTATCGCCTGTGCCAGCAAAACGGAAAAGTACCTATTGCTTATTTTGGTATAAAATCTTGAGAATGGTAAATAATGAGCACAGATAAAATTAATAAAAAAAATCTGAAACCCTTCAACAGATTTTATATTATCTCCAGAGTGGCATATTTATATAATTATTATATATAACATTTTGTATGTTACCTTTATTTATTAAATATCATGTTATTTGCATTTAAACCATAAAATCCAGTTCAGTAGCAATATCACAAAATATTTAAAAGAGTGTATCTTTAGAATTTCGGATACACAGTCTCGTGCGCTGGAGGTAATTCCCCCCCCATACAGTGTTGCCATTGTTTGCTTTGAAATCTGAGTTTCCTAATCAATAACTCATAAATGCTTTACAAAAATATGAAATAGATAATAAAACAAATTCATAAATACTTTACAAAAATATGAAATAGATAATAAAACAAATTCCAGATTCCACATTAGGGCTTCCAGATGCTCATATTTGGGTGGAGATGCATGTCATTCAAAATTTGATGTCTCTAGGTACCATTTTTTAATCACAATGCTAGAAACATGCATGCATTTAATGATGATTCTTCATTATTAATTTCTGTAAGTATAATACAGGGCCGTACTATTTCATGGCAAACATTTAAAAAGGGATTCACCGTTTATAGTAAATCAGTGCAAAATGCCAAAACAAAATTAATAGCCTTACAGGGTAATTTACCCCTTTGGGCTAATAATAACAAATGAGTAGTGCTTATAATTAACATTGAGGCCATAAAATTTAAACACATTAGATTTTATTTACAAACAATCAGGTGGAAGTGATGGTTTGCTTGAAGCTCATTGCTATTCCTCTGTCTTAACATTGAATTGGTAGGAGGTCATGCACTGACCACATCAAATGTTTCGTATTTAACATATATTTATACTAGGATTTTTTAATAAGTTATTTATTTTATATTGGTATAAAAATGTATTAATAGCTCTTTAGTTGTACTTTTGTTTTTACTGCCAAATATTTTTTGTTTCCTTTTGAATCCTTCTAATGTTATAGTAAGCAGACTTGACTATGACTATGGTGACTATTCTATGAATTAGCTCATCCTTGCATTATGGTTTTAAACATGATAGAAATTAACTTTTATTGTGTAATTGAATTCTCTACAATTTCACCTTTTTAGAGAATAATGAAGGTGTAAATGGAGACTTTGATGCTTCTGCATCAGATGGGATTCAAGCTTCTGAAGAAGAAACTGCTAGTGTTACTAGTGTAGATAGTTACATAGAGCTACTTTATGAAGAAATACCAGAAAAAGTTAGAGCTTCTGCATTGGTCCTTCAACTTGCACGACAGACTGGAAATTTAAGCATTCTGCGCAAAAATGGTATGCGTGTTATACATTTGTGCTTGGCAAATGACCTAATGTAGTTGAGATATATTTATATGTTTTGATCAGTTTTAAACTCTTTTTTTTTTACAGAAATCCTTCTAGGTGCTTTAGCTAGAGTACTTCGGGAAGATGGACGTAAATCTATTGAACTTAGCACCAATATTGTTCATATTTTTTGCTGCTTTTCTGTGTTTACTCAGTTTCACCCAGTTATAGCACAGCATAAGGTATTTGATAATTTATCCTAAATGTATATTGCATTAGTAAACATTTCTGCATTTTAATATTTTATGAAAACTGAAATCTATAGATGCAGATATATTATAAATATTTTATATAAATAATTTATATTATTTCAAAGTGTTATACAGATTTTTCAATTTTGGATATGATCACATTTTATGACATGTCAAAAGTGTAGACTGTGATTCAGTTTGTCCTAAGATCACATCTCCCTTATACACCTGTAGGATGACCAAAGAAAAGTGCATTCTCAATTCTGTTATATTTTGGAGCATCAAAAATGTAGCTGCATTCCCTCTTCTAAAGACAGTTTATGCTCATTGCAATACAAATTTAGCTCATCATTTAAATTGGCAGTTAGGGACTTGCTTTTGTTAGGCTTTAATTTCTTCCTTTATGGCAAATTGAGGATTATAAACTTCAGTGTTTGATTGGTAGACATATCAAGAATTGGTATGGTCTGGTGCGGGATCGAGCATTTATTTTTATTACCATTAATGTTTTCATTTGCCTTCAAATTCTCATTATAGCAGTAAATGATTGAATTTAATTTTATTCCAAATAAGATTTTAGAATGTCTTAGACTTGTTTAGCAATCACTTTTGAAGTAATTTTCAGTTTATTTGGAGTGCCCATTGCTAAAGAATTAAAATTTTTTTAAACATTTGTAACTGTCTTTGGATGTAAAAGTCATAAATAAAAGTAATGTTTACTGAATATTTTGCAGTATTGAAAGTACTCTTACTGAATATATTGCTGATCCAGAACCAAAGGTCTACTATGTTTTTACCATTTTAAACCCTGGAATTTCATAATGAAGTCAGAAGCTGGACTTTTAATAGTGACTTTTATTTTTAATGAAACAGATCTTACAGGTGGTTCTGTTTCTAAACTTATACTTCTCTAGTTATGGTTATGTTAAGAAGCTGGAAAGCTAATTCAGACTAGCAGTATAAAGCTGTACAAGGATATCTAATACCTTGATTTGAAATTGGTTTCTGTGTTTGAATTTTCATATAGAATTATTTTTCAAATCCTTTCTATTGTGTGTATGGATATGTTTGTTTTGCAAAGTAAAAGTTTATGGAGTATAATTTGCCATACTGTTAAAATTTGTTTTTGTAATCTGCTTCACTAAATTAGTTAGGCATCATCTTCAATAGTATGTTAACTGTAAAAATAAAAGTTTAAATAAGTATTTTTTCTAAAGTAGATTTGGGAGCAAGATTATAGTCTTGGTTTTAAACTTTTGGACTTGCATATTAGCTGTACTGATACGTCACCTAGAATTCCATCCTTGACTTGATTCATGTGAGCCTTTGGCAATTTTGGAAGCTATTCTGGATTCTTCTGGAAATATACAATTTCCCCTCCCTTGTTAATATTCGGGTAGAGCTAAAAGAGAGTGGTGAATTTTATTTTCATAACATCAACTTCAGACTGATTACTACAATTAGATATCTGCATTGCACCTCTTTTTAGGAGGGAGAAAAATTTTTTCCCTTGGAAAGTTTTGGGGACACATTTCTTCATCTTGTGTTAAATTTTACCATATTTTGTATCATGTGTTTACTATATTTTCTAAGAAAGGAAGTAAATGCAATCCATTGTAATCCAGGCTTTTGCCATTCTGCCAGAAAATTGCAAGCATTCCGCATGCAATGGAACTGTGTATGGAAGATTTATAATGGAAATATAATGTCAGCTTCTAACAAAGCTATGAATTAGTAGCTGATACAAGAGAAAATAATTGCCTTCATATTTAGCAAAGTTCATGTAGATGCACACATAGGCTGCAAAGAACAATAATTTGCTATGGCTTTAGATGAAATTTCCAAGCAAAATATGTCAGAAATTTACAAAAAAAAAAAAAAAAAAAAAAAAAAAATCGTCTATCTGCTGACTTTCAAAATTCATTACCAAAAAGGCACCAATAGATTGTTGGTGATGTTATGATGAACAAGTACTGGCTAATACAAAAGGGCTAAATTTCCTTTATATTTTCCTTCAAAATGCATAAATTCAGTGAAAAGCTGATTGTTTCATTATTACTCTTTTAAAATATTATAATGACTTACTCTTTTTTTTTTTTTTTTTAATTTTTTTTTATTTTTGTAAGGTTGGTTCTTTATGCATTGATGTAGTTGACAATGAGTTAAAAAGGTATGATCAGTGGAGTGAAGAAATTGCAAAAAAGAAAAGTATAAATATCCTTTTTCAAATGTTACTGTGAATAAGTATTTTACAATGTGTTTTGATTTTATTTATCAAATTTGATTGGGAATGTAAGCTTTCAGTTTATTTTCCTGTTATTTGTTTTTTTTTAATTCTGGAAAAATCATAAATAGATTTCATTCATTTTTAATATGGTAGACTAAAATATCTTTAAAATAAATTTAAGCAGCATTTCTTTGTAGATATATTCTAAACAATAATTCCCATTTACTTGCTTTTAATCTGTATTGTTAATAATAGAAAGGTATTTGGTTTGAATTTTAAGTGTTTTGCTATCTGGCTTTATAAAATGATATCTTATTCTCCAAAATAGTTTCAAAATTGAAATCGCATATGATAGAAAATTCATAAATAAATCTGGCGTTTCTGCTAAACAGATTCAAATTAAAAAATTCAGTCTTTTTGATAACTTGTTTAAAAATTGCATATTTGTGTACTTTCTCATCTTCCATATTTGATAAACAAAATCTCTCACCAAACAACATCATACATTCATAAGATCTTCACCTTGATTCTATGCAACCCAGCTAATGATCAATAAGTCAATTTAATTTATGGGAAGAAGTATATAAGTTAACTAATTGATGCTATTTTAAATGTCATTAGGGGTTTTGGGCTGCCAGAATGATTGGCTAAAACTTTATGAATTTGTCTGATGAACTCAAGGCTTGAGCTTATATTTATTTAATTTTTATATGCTATATCTGTAACTTCTATCTGTTAATTGTCTTAATGAATAAGTAATCTGTAAGATTAATCTGTTTTTTCAAATGTCTGTGAGAATGATTGACACAAGCTTTGCAGGATCTTCGCAAACTTTCATGATCGATGAAATTGTTTGTAAATACCAGAAATTATACTAAATAAATTCACATGCACTATTTATTATTGAAAACTAAACCTACTAGAGGAATTTCATTAAATTTTTGACAAAGTAAAAAAAAATTCTGAAGTGATAAAGATAATAGCACAAAATTTGTAAAGTACCTGTTGGGGAATCAAGGATCATTTTTGAAATTATAGACTAGAAATCAGTTCAATTTTAAGAATTTTAAAATTTGGATATAAAATGCTTGTTTTAAAAGCAAATTCATGAAAACATATATCATAAAAAATTAAGAACTGCTTTATTGCATAAGCAAGAAAAAATTGTAAAACATATACAAGTGGTTTTATTGCAGCAATTTTAAATAATTTTATCTAGCTTTTGTGATTGTCATCATCAGAACTGTTTTATGAGGTCATATATTCATTTAGCCAGTTATGAATTGCAACTTCATTAATTTCTATAAATTTGTTTTGCACATCTGCTGCTAAAAAGATTTTATTAATGTGTGTAAAAGTTGTAATGTGATTAGATTACTTGTGAACAATGAAAAGGATGTTTGGAAACTTTCCATCTAATTTGTGGAATTAATAAGCTGTCACAGCAGCACATTACTAAATTTTATAATGCAGCAGACAGATATTACCGTATTTGATGGCATATAAGACATACTGGCATATAAGACACACCCTTATTTAGAAGGCCACACACATGTAGATGTAGAAAAAGTTATGTGTGTCTAGATTTTTATCCGGGCTAAAAATAGCATTCAGTATAGAAAGAACCTGTGTCCTTCACGTATAAGATGCAGGTAACTTTTTTGAGACCAAATTTAGGAAAAAAAGTGCGTCTTATAAGCCGTCAAATACGGTATCAGCATGTAGAGCTTGCTGCTGATTTCTCAAGCTGTGATAATTCCTTGCTAACTGACTGTGGGGGAAAATATTTGGATATTATGAAAATAATTCATTTACAATATTTCTATTATTTTCTGTTTGATGCTTTTATACCCGTGATTAAAAATTAAAGTTTAAATGTTTATGATATTTTATTGGAAAATTAAACAATCATAATGTTATAAAATGGTAAATTTAATTTAGGTTTAAATCACTTAACTAATTATACTAGATTCTGGAAAATCAAATGTTGCCATAATAAATGATTATGAGAAAAGTTATCAGAAGTATGTCAGCCTAGTGAAGAAACAGGATCAGCTTCTACGAGGTTGTATTTTTATATTTGTGCCAAGTCTAAATTTACAAAAAAATAATAGAATAATTTCTTTAATATTTTTTTGTTTAATTTTGTATTTACTTCTCTTTTATATTTTTCTTTGAATATGTTATATTACACATGAGAATTTATTTTCTTAGAAGAAAAAACTACACTTGTATTATTAGGAAAATGTCTTCAAAGTAGATAGGATATTTGTTTTTATTGTGAATTATTGTGTAAAGTTTGCACATTTAATAGTGTGCATAATTTGACGTACAGTACAAAGTTCATAATCCGGACTTGTCGGGACTTCGGCGATTCCGGATTCGTGTTTTTTCCGGATTATAGATCATCAATTTAAATCTGGTAAGATAGCATGCAGAAATTATACAATTAAAAATATGAAACCATAATTTATGAAATAAAAAGCAATTGTGATCTAAAGGGTATCAAAATTTACAAAAAAAAAAACCTTAATATTTATTTGTTTACTTTATTAAACATTTCTTTCAATGTAAGTTGTTTAAGTTACTTCTTTTGTGTGCTAATACTTTCTCTTTAATTCTATAAACAGACATAATTTCTTGTTCAGTTACAAAGTTCCACTGTTCAAGTCCTGTGTGTCGAGAATACTGACTAACTTGTCAATTAATATACCTCTCTGTCACTTTCTTCACTATCGGAAGTGCGCATGGATAAATGCTTTATGCGCATACGTAGTGAACGCACGCATTAAAAACGCATGCATAAATACTTTACGCGCATACGTAAGTTTGTGGCTTTGAGGTCTGGATTATAAGATCATTCCGGATAATGGAGATCCGGATTACAGACTTTGTACTGTATTAATATTAAGCTATGGTCATATTAATTTATATGGTTGTGTATAGATATCAAATTAGATACAATTTATTAAATATTATGATTACAAAACACTGGTTCTATTCTTGACATAAATTGACTGCATGAGTTAGTTGTGTGTAATATAAATACGCTCCACTTTTTCTGAAAGGATTAAATCTGAAGAAGAAATTTATAGGATTGTTGCTATTTAAGTTAGAAATTTATGAGTGATTTATTTTCTTTTTTATATTTTACATATTGGAACCTGTAAAATATAAAGCAAAAGTAGTAAAATTAATTAGAATCAATTGGCAAAGATTTTCAAATTCATAAATTTTTATTTAAATGTTTCCCGACTGTAAAAGATACGCTTTGCTGCATCACTCTGCCACATGTTATGGCACTCCTTCCCTGCAGTGTCTCCACACTGTGATATATATAGCCCAACCACTGCTCAGGATTAGCACAATGACTTTCTGGCTATAAATAGGATCGAAGTAAGTATGCATTGCTTTTTCTCACTTGCTGTTGCCCAGATAAAGCACATCTCTAGCTTCGCTGCCTTCTTCATTGTCTAAAATGTAAACTCCATATATGTATACATAAACTGTGGGGTGTGTTTAGCAGCCCTAGTGTTGTATCAGTTTTAACCAGAAGTATATTTCAGAATAATGTTTCCTGTAAAAAAATTAAAATGATATTTTAAGGAGCAAGCCAGCTGTGATTGTTTCACCAATCCCAAGTAACTCTTTTCTGGGCCATGACCCAAGTGTGATTTGAACTGAACTATTATTGCCGAGAATGTCACACAGCAGTATTACATGTCCGCCTCCATAAAATAGTGTCCATCTCCGTAAAATAGTGACATAATTCCAATCTGGACTGTGGGGCCCCACAGGGAGGTCAGAGGAAGAGAGAAAAGAGGTGGCTAGCAGTCACAAGACTTGAAACAGAGAAACAAAACTTGAAAATGAAAAGGGCAAGGCAAGAGCAGAGCAGCGTAGTCATAATGTAAACATAAAATGTCAGGAAAATAAAAAGAAAACAGTAAATACAGTGAACAATTAGTGGAAAATATGTACAAGTAAAACTAAACATGTTCAAACAAAACTAGTGCAGGCAAATTAGTGGCAACAGGAATTTAAGTAGGGAAGTTATTGTCATGAGAGAGGTGAGCAGCATAGGGGCGAATGCCACTGTCTTCAACTAAAATCCTGTAGTTGAGAGTCTTAACTCTCTAAGTGACAAGGTCGTATATATACAGCTAAGAATATATTTTGAGATATTTGTAAGAATGTACATGTACGTGCATATTAAAATATGTCAAAGAAATTAAGGCAATATATCAAAAGTACACAAATCCAGGTATGAAATACCAGGCGAGTTTTTACATTAAAATAATAATAATAATAATTTATTCCCATAGTAGTTTTGGGAAATTTGTGCTTTCTTAGCGAAAACCCTGGCCGCTCAGAGGGTTAAAGGGAGTTCAGATGGGCACAAACCTTGGCCTTGTTGTAGAAGTTTCCATTAGCTTTATTTTAAAAGTCCTCAATACTTTCAATTTTTATGTCTTTGTGTAGCCTTTCATTCATTCAACACATAGAAGTACGCATTTTTTATCACTCTAAGGAAGCAATTCTGAAATATCTGCAGCTTGACTATATTATTCTTAAACGCTGTCGCCCAGGCGGGCAAAAGCATAAGCAATAATTGGCCTTTGAACCATAATGTACAAAAGTCTTTTCTTATTTAAATCCAGTTTTGAATAATTTCCAATGAAGGGCATGAGAGACACCTATTGCTTTGCTATGTATCTTGTTGATGTGGTCATTCCAGTTCATTTTATTATGTAAAGTTATTCCCAAATACTTTACTTTGTTGACCCTGAAGAGGTTAAATTCTCTGCGTACAGACACATTTTTCTTTTTTATTCGTATAATGAAGAGTTATTACTTGTGCACAGTTGAGGGAGATGTGCCGCAAGGTGCACTATTTTTCTATTGAAGGGATAATATCCTGCAATTTCTTTACTGCATGATTGGCATAAGCAGACTTCACAGCTAAGGCTGTGTCATCTGCGTAGCATCCCAAAAATTGATTATTATCCAATTGTGGCTTGGGGGGTGACAAAGAATAAATATAATATGGGGCCGAGGATAGACCCTTGTGGGACCCCCAGCATAAATGATCTGGAGATCAGAGTGTACCTTCCTGTATTGCATATAAAAATTTATTCCTGTGATGAAAGACATGATAAGTTCAATGAGCTGTATGTAAAATCCAATTTTAATAAGCTTGTAAATAAGCCCCTCATGCCAGACGCGGTCAAATGCTTTCGCCACGTACAGCAATATTATTTCTATTATGCAGCGCTGCACCAATAAACTCAATGAGCCTTACTAACTGTTTTGTCATGGACAGACTTTTTCTAAACCCAAATTGTTCTGAAGGAAGCAAATTTATATAGGGTTGCATTCTGTTTAGTATTATGCATTCATAAATTTTGGCCAAATCAGGTAACAAGCTGATAGGCCGGTAACCATCAGAATTGGTAGTGTCTTTGCCGGGCTTGAGAATAAGAATTATTTTCACTGTCTTCCACCTTTTAGGAAAATAAGACTGTGTGAAGCAGGCATTCAACACTTTCGTATATTTACTTATGAAGTTGTAAGAGAGATTTTTTAGGTCTAGGTTGCTAATTTCATCATGACCCAGTGAAAGTGTGATTTGGAGTTTATCTTCCCCTCAAAAACCACATCACAAGTAAGAGGTGTATTCTTGATTGTAATTCCAAAATCACCTTCCAAATTTATTCCTTGACTCTCACTTCCACTTTATATGCTACTTTAATTATCTGCACACTTTGAAGATGCATGTCTGTGTACATTAAAATATCCAGATTAGTATTTTTGAGCATATGTGTTATGTGTATGGTTGGGAACCTGAGAGCATTATTCTAACAATTAGAAGCTTTGGTCTTTAAACATTTGCCTTTCTTCAGCTAGCATGTAGTTTGCTGCTTCTCTTCATTATGAAGCATTATGCTGTAAATCACGAGCATCTACTTGTAATTATGGAATAGTAGATATGCTTGTGTCAGTTTTGATGTATGTGTTTATATTGGTATTGCTGTGCCATAAATAAAATATATTCATTGGCCATGACTATGTCTTATTTGTAACCATTCCATTATTATTCTCATCTTTATAAATTGTCAGGCTAAATATCTGTTATTGCACACACACACATATATATACATAATTGTAATTTAGTACAACAAAAATATTTGTATAAACAGTGACAATGCTGAGCGTCGCCTGAGATAACCACTGACCTGACTTTATTGTAAAAGTCTTGTAGTGTTAATAGTCATCCTGGCAGAAGGGAATATTTCCTCTGTGTAAAAATATAAATATAAATATTACATGGGCATACAAGGCCTGTGTATAATCATAGATATGTTGATTACAAACATTGTCTTGTACAAGTTACATATGATAGTTAGATAAATTCATGACAGCTATGTGTACATTTAAACATTATCTGAATTCATATTTACAATACTTTTACCTGATCTAATCAAAGTAAACTTGTAATTCATTTACACATTGACTGGATTTTCAGTATCATTTAAACTACTTTACAATATTATTTTTATCAAGTTCATACAAACTAGATAGTAATATGCTTACATTACAATAGTTTTGCTCTTACAGTCCTGTTACTATTCTACGGGCTGAGCTATTTTTCTAGTGTTGATTTTCAGTTGTTGTAGTATTTTGAATTGCTATTAAAATTATACTGCGAAGATACAATTCTCAAGGGAAAGGGAGAACTTCTTAGTACCTTGCTCAGCATAGCCTGATTACCTCATCTAATTTAGTTTTTGTCTGCTTGTTGTCGTAGGTATTCTCCGCCCATTGTGGCCAGTATTCACTGCTTGGCGTTTTTAAATGCAGTTTATTGGTTTGTGGGCAGTTGAAGAGGAAGTGATCTGTATCACCTACCTCACCACATTCACATAACTCTGATGCTCGTTTGCCAAATCTCTTAAGATAATGGGGGAAGGGACCATGGCCAGTGTAGAATTGAGTTTGTGCTCCGCTTGCTGCTTTCTCGTATAATAGGCAGTTGTGGACATCTTTGTAGATCATTTTTATTTCGGCATAATTTATAGAGTGATGAGCATAATGAAGCACTTCAGATGCTGAATTGATTGCGCCACTGAGGAGCAATTTCAACTGCACATATTCACAATTTATTTATTTCACATATTTACAATAAACAGTTGAGGATAAAACAGAGAAGACAATAGTGAAAAGTAGCAACATATGTTAGAAAATCAAAATTGTGTTATGTAAAGAATGAAGGTGCTTTAATTCTCCGTATAGGGACATAGTATGCTTTATTGTTATTGGTTAATGGAAAGTTCTGGTGTGCATATTATAGATTAAAGATTTGTCTTTCATTTCTATTGTTTTATATGTTGACCGTTGCATCACCCATAATACCTACAAATTATGGGATAGCTATTCATTTTGAAATGACATAGAAATATTTATATAAGCATTTTACTGCTATTAGGATCAAAAGAAGAAATAATCAAATTAAAAAGAAAAAGAAGAGGAGAGAGAGACTTTAGCGGCTAAGGAAAAAACGTGGCAAATTTAATACAGGGGTAGTTATCTTAAGAATACTCTCCTGGAACACTTTTTAAATGAAACTGACCTCCAATTCATGGAACCTGAGGAAAGGCATGAAAACACTCGTGCAGTCAACCTGTTTGTTGGAATTTAAGCTCAGCCAAATTACCGGCATTATCCACTTCACTACTGCTAAGATCAAATGAAAAAGTTTTGTATAAGTGTTTGTTATTTATATCTATATTAAGTCCTCTCATGGATTACTACATCTGAAAGTGATTTTCAAAAGCATAATTAAATAATATCAAATGACGTTCTCTGCAAAAAGCCCAAAATCAAGGGTTGTCACCAGTAGCAAGTTATGAAAATGGCTTGCACTTAATCATATGAAAACTAACTTAGAAATTCTAATTAAATATTTTATTTTGCTTTAAATTTAAAAATGCAAAAAACTGTGCTTGAACCAAGATAAATAAATAATATAAATAAAAAAACTTTAATGTTATTTTTTTAAATCATGAAATGTGATAGAAATTACATAAAATAACAAAGAAATTTAATTATGCCTAATCTTCTTATTTCTATGGAGAAAGAAGATTTTTTTATGGAAATACTGTCCATTGAGCCAAAAGCTTTTGCAGCATCAATGCTACTAATATAGTGCTTATTAACCGGAGATTCTCTACAGAGGGATTTCAGGGGAATGAGGTCAGCCTTTTATTTAGCTGTCAATTATTTAGTTTATGATCGTAAAAAACTACTTTTATTCAAATTTTGGTATTTATCAACATTTTAATGCTTTTTGTTGTATAATTTATAAAACCTGTTAAAAAGTAATCTAAATAAAAGTATGTATGTATTTTTTTTTAGTTTTGCGAGGACGGGAGATGATCGTCTAACAGTAGCAAAAGGCATGCATGGGATAAAATAGGTGGAGAACCACTCTTTTGTACCCTTACAAAACCTGAGCCATCACCTTGATTTTTCAAGATTGTATTGGCTAATAGCAATGGTCTCTACTAACTTTAACTTTCTTTACACTATTAGAAATTTAGTTTTGCAGTTTTTCCAAAAGCCATCTCAATTAAATTCTAAATTTTTTTTTTTTTTGTTTCATGCTTTAATATGACATTTAATGTTTATCAAAGTATGATTATGGCATAGAAGAGAGAACAACAAAATGCATACATGCTTTTATTGGAAAACAAGATATGGAGGCTCATAAATTAAAGATAAATTTAACAGAAGGATCTCATCAGAGTGCTAATGGGCATGTGCTTCTTGTAGCTCAGTATTGCTGGTCATCTTAGAGAGATTTCACTGTATTTAGTTACAGTCTATAATGATTCTTTTTAAATATTAAAAACATATTTTTGTTCAGTTAATGCTAAACAGATCATTTTCCTTTTTTAGTCTGTTTCCTTCTCCTTCTTCACATAGCTGAAGATCGTAAAGTGGAATATAAGATGGTGAATAGAGGAATAATATCTCTGCTTGCTAAATGTCTGAATAGAGAATCTGCAGATTTGTTAATCATTGTTGTTTCCTTTCTACTCAAGCTGTCAGTATTTATTGAAAGCAAAGAAGAGATGGTGAGTTATATTAAAATATAATTCTAATTGTTTGATGCTATTAGGGCATTAATCTGCAGGTATATATAATTTACAAAATGGTTAATGATAACAACTCAGCAGGATAGGAGCAAAATCCATTTAAGGATTGGAATCATAGATTCCTAGGCATAGCATTCTTTCAGGTTCCTTTAATATATATTTGTCTTCTTCCTCCACTCTTCTGAAAAAGAAAGACTAAAGTTTTTGCTGCATTTTTATAGTAGCATTTTCATTCATATGAAAGGAAATATTGGATTTTCATATTAAGTAAGTAATTATTATTAAGTATTACTTCTTTATTAAGTAATTTTTTAATAAATTAAAAGAAATAGAAAAAATACCTTTGACATAAAATGACGACAGTCTCAAGAAAATATGGTAGGTGAGTTGTAATTTCTGATTCAGCCTGTTTTAATTTTTGCATTGCCTTTTGAGCCAAGCATCAAATCATGTGTAAACTTGATTTTTAAAAAAGACATTATTTCTAGTAACTAGTTCAGGCTTTTCATCAATACTTTGCTTTAGGTGTGTTAATTGTTAGCAATACAACTTGTTAGTGAAGTTTTGATATTAAGGAAGCAACATATAGCTGATAAGTTTTATATTGCATCAAATTGATAACATCATCTTCTTTAGATTCTTAGTTCTGTTAATTGTTAGCAATACAACTTGCTAGTGAAGTTTTGATATTTAGGAAGCAACATATAGCTGATAAGTTTTATATTGCATGAAACTGATAACATTATCTTCTTTAGATCTCTTTGTAAAGTTGTAAGTGCTTTGTTTATATCAACCCACTGCCTTGAGCAGCTTATATTTTTGCATAAAAATAATTTTTTATTCCAATTATGTTTCAAATTTTTATCTTTACAGTTTAAGCACAACTCAGTGATATTGTTTAGAAATTTTTCTTATAAACGCCAATAAATTCTTAGATGTGCTGCTCGGATTGATCTTGTAATATAAAATGGGATTTTACTTTGTAAGTGTTTGCAAAGAGGAAAAAAAAAATTACATTTGATTTTATTCAGGAATTTTTTAACTAAAATTTAATTTATTATAATTAGTTGTGCACTATCATGAATTATACATTATGTTTCAATTAAAATATTTGTCAAAATTTGAAATTTTCCTATCAAACAAAAAAGTGAATGACTCACTTTTTCTGTTTGATTGCAAAATGCTGTAAAATACGCTCAATATACTGAATTTCAAAGTGTGTTTCAGTTTTTTTTGGGGGGGGGGTAGTTTCAAAGCATGCTCATTACTTCAAAATTTTACGATAGCTCATCAACTGTATCTATATCCTTGAATTTTTTTATTTTGTAATTTTTTTGTAAAATAGTATCTCATGCAGCAGTTATTTTCAGTATTACATCGATAATGTTTTAAGTATTGTAAATTTTCTTTTGATCTCATTCAGCAGAACATCTAATGCTCAGTGTAGATAAAATAGCTTTTCTTGGTCTGTACAAAAATCACTTTTGACACACAATGCCTTAAATTTAACTGCTCACTTATACAAGAAAAATTTAAAATATCATTAGGGAACATTTTCTTTTAAAAAATAGCGAATATTTTTTTTTATATATATATTTGTTTTCATTCAGCTGCAGAATACTTTATAAGAAAAAGCATGAACTAATCACTGGGCATGTGGTTAACATTTAGTAGCTGTTATAAACAAAATATTTAAACCAAAATATGTTTCAAAAGCAGAAGTTTAGTTTTATCAGTGGCAAAATAAAGTGTTTAAAATGAACACCAATAGTAATAAATGAACAATAATTAAATGATATATATTAAATAAATAGTAACAACATATATGCACATAATAAAAAGTTTTAGAAAATTGAACAGAATATTAAATTTTAATTTTTCTGTTAAATTTATTCACAGTTGTCTATGAATTTTAATATATATATATATACATCCTTTTAAAATATCCAATAATATAATGTTCTGTGAGAAATTATAAGGTTTTTTTGTTTGCTTTAAGAATTCGGCTCCTAAAAATATTCTTATGCTGGTATAATGCAAGTTTCAAGTTATGTTTTTAATTCTGGTTCCTTATCTATGATGGGCTTGCAAATTCTTATTTAAGAATACAGCTAAAAAATATTAAGAATTAAATTTTGTCTTGAATAGTAATAGATTGCTGTAATATTTTACAGGAATTTAATAATATTGTAGAAAATGTGGCTCATCTAGTCCCTCATGAAAATTCGGAATTATGTGATGTCGTACTTAGTCTTCTCCTGAATTTATCATTTTCTCTAGACTCTAGAAATGGAATGGTGAAATGTGGCCTACTGCAGAAACTAGTCAACTTGATATGTAAGTTTTATTTTATAATTTTATTATTGTTTAAATTAAAATTAATACTATTTGTAAATTTTAAAACTTAATAATAAAAGTGTTTTTAATAAGGAAGATCTGCTAAATTTTTTGCTCTGGATATGTGATAGCAATTGGATTAAAGACATAACTTTAAAGTTATAAAATTTGTGTTGCTGATAATTGGTACTTTTATGATGTGTTGTTGTAAATAATTAAAAATGAAAGTAAGCATTATTAATAGAGATACTGAAAGTGATGTATAGTGTTCCTGAATCATGGTTGAAAATGACTATTATACAACTTATTTATTTATGTGCAGGCAGTTAAGAATGCACTTCTACTGGGTCTGATAATAAGTTTAATTTATATGTATTTATTTAATACTGCATTATTTCAAATTTAAGTTGCAGCAAGATTTTAAAATTGGAAAATCTGAAAAAATAATAAAAAATAGCTGTCTTTAAATTTAAGTCTGGTATGATTTTAAAATTGGCAAAATTAAAAAAAAAAAAAAAAAAAAGAATTATTGTATTATAAGTATTGGAACATCAGAAACATTTTTATATAATTAACTATTTAGCTACTAATGTAAGAATAATAAGCTACTTAATTTATTGAGAATCTTTTTTAGATGCACAATCTCTTTCAGCATCTTCATAGAATCACGTAATCATTTTCAGTGCCATTTAAATCATTTCCAATGCAGAATTTTAATAAATGGTCTGATTATTGGGAACTGGAAACTTTACAGAAATAAGATATTAAAATATTCACTTTGAATTTAATCTACACCCTTATTTTGCATCTTAAAAATATGAATGAAAAGTATGGTTTAATTTCAGAGTATTACAGTAATGTAACCATGCATGTTTTCTAAAGATCTCTTTTTTTCTTTTATTAATTTATTTGTTAAATATACTTGATTTCAAAATTAATTTCTAAATTGCCATGAAAGTTTAATTCCTTTTCAAGTATTATTCATTTTTATTAAAATGCCACTCATTAATGTATGTATAAAGGAAGTATAATTATGGAAATCAAGTGTTATGTAAATTGAGGTTTCCTTAAATGCTAATTGAAGACTATTAGCTTCATTTATCATACCTTTTCCTAAAACCAAATCGCAATTTGAATTAGATATTTCTTTTCTGTTTTAATTTAAGGTTTTGGAGAAGAACTGCCACTGTGAAAAATTGGTTATAGTCGAACTATGAGAATTAGCTGAGATCCAGCCAAAGCTGCACTGATCATTTATATGTCATTCTGAAATGACTGAGGCGTCTGTATTTAATAAACAATCATCACTCGAGCTATTTCATTTTTGGACTTCCTTTTTTCCCCTGTGTTGTGTTGTCGATTTTTGCTATGCTGTTAGGCACCATTTTTACTGGAAGTTATTTATAATATTATGAATTCAAACCTCTTACAGGTAATTGATCCAACTATTACTCTTTTGTTGGCCACTTTCAGTAAGCCATATAATGTCCATTATAATATCATTTTTTTTAATGCAGGATCCTATAATTTTTAAAATAATTTTCTGCTGCTTGCTCTTCTGTAAAAGGCAGTACCCAATTTTTAATCATTTTCATCTAAATGCATGAAAAATACAACATTAACAATTAATTTATATATTTCTTCATCAAAGCAAAAGGTGGATTACTGAGAATCAGTTAAGGCTGCATCAAATGAAAGTGTGTTATTAGTGTATTGGTACATCATGCTTATTCATAACTGATGCTAAATCACACTTACTCCCAGGTGATAATGTAATGGTTGATGGGATAACATGTAACTGCCATGAATCAAAATGAGTAGTAAAAAGCTTAAGATAAATATCTAGACAAATTCATTGAAAAATATTTTGAGAAGGTAGATGATAAAATGTATGAGCATATGCTGGCAGATCAAGGCTTAAGAAATGTGGAATTAAAGTGTTATACAATGCTAATCTTTAATCACATCATGTCTTTATTAATCACATTACCTCTTTATATACTTCTTCTTTTTCTTTCTTTCTTTCTTTTCTTTTTTTTTTTTTTTCTTTTTTCTTATGCATAGGTTTTTCAAAGATGTGCTGTTCTGCTCCTTGTTTTAACAATTACTTTTAAAATAATTGATAGCTCTCCCCTTATCTGAATATTAATTTTTGTGTGAGTTATTTCAGTCAAGAATATATTTGTGCTTGTTTTGGTTGTGGCTATCTCTTGGTGTCCAAAATTTGTATGCATAAATATGTTAGCAATACTAAATTAATATAACTTCCAGTCCTGATATAATTGGACTTAATATGCAAAAATTATGTACTTCAGCTAAGAATTTAATTAAATTCTGTTTAAAGTGTTACATCATCTACTTACATGTTGTACTTCCATCTATTTCCTTAGGATGCGAAACATATATTTCTGTGTCTCCCCTTTCCCTTCCTACAACGTGGCAGAAGTCCTGAATAACTAAATTGTAAATTATGAAAGTAAAGGAGTATTTTCATATTATTAAATTGTAATGATTCTTCTTTTGTCTTAAAATAGCTGTGAAATCCTGTCAAAAGCAGGTCTTTGGAATACTGTACCACATCAGCTTTGATGACAGATGCAAATCCTTGTTTACATATACTGATTGCATTCCATTAGTAAGTATGAATGTACAGTTGAATTTGTGTCATTTTTAATTAGTCTGTTTGCAAAAAAATGTCAAGTTATAATTTATTTTAATGTCGTACTACTAAAAGCAGTAATTATGATTTTAAATAAAAATTAAGAAAAAATTTCATTTAACTTTTAATTGAAAGTTGAAAGAGTAAGGGGGGAAAATCAAGTGTTATGCAATTCAGATTGTTACAATAGTGGCAACAATAAATAAGTAAATTTATTTTACAATGCAATAAATAACTTTGAAACCATAAAATTGAACATGGGAACTCATGAACATTGAACAATGAAAAGCGGGCTTCAGCCCGCTCAGCTGGCGGGCTTGCCTGCTAGTGAAAATTTTAATTCGTGTCTTTCCAAACCTCCATTATGATAAGCATTTGTCAGTAATAAGAACACAGAATTACAGAGGCTTGTAGATTCTAAGATATGAAGCATATGAATTTTGTATAATAATATTTTGTAAATGTTACTTAAGATTTTAAATGATAAAAGTATGCATTTCTTTTTGAAGTTGTTATTTTTGATTAAATGAAATATGTATGTGTCTGTAATTTTATACTTAATTTGCAAGATAAGAAGATAATTTTATTTTTAAATACATCTGTTTAATTTTGCAAATTAATATTTTCTGTTCTGTTAAATGGGAATTCAAAATAGCCAAGATCATTCTGTAAATGACATTTTGGGGAGGGAATGAAAAAAGAATATTTTTTATCCTCTAATTAATAACTGTGTTTGCTTTCAGATCATGAAAATGATTATTGAACATCCTGAACGGACATTGCATAAATATCTCATTGCACTTGCTGTGAATCTGGCAATGAACAAACGTAATGCTCAGCTAATGTGTGAAAATGATGGACTACGACATTTAATAGAACGTGCATTTAAATACCAAGACTGCCTATTACTGAAAATGATCAGAAATATATCACAACATGATGGACCAACAAAAATATTATTTGTGGTATGTTTAGATTCTTTGAATATCTGGCTTGTACCCATCCCAGTTGGTTTGAATATTTGAAGTCTTTTTGTATCTAACAGTATATCTTATTTATATCTCTAGGTTTATTTTTTATATGCTTCGGCTAATGGTAGTTGTAAAAAGCCATAGTTTTGAAATAATTGAGGCTATGCAGCAGTAGTCCACTAGTTAATGTTGATGACAACAAAAATAAGTAGTACAAAGTCTGAGATTTGAGCTTGTTGGGATTTAAGAGATCCCGGATTTGGGATTTTTCTGGATATTAGATCATCAGCTTAAATCTAGTAAGATGGCATGTCGAAATTATAAAATTAAAAATATGAAATCATGATTTATGAAAGAGTGAAGCATTTATGATCTAAAAGGTATCAAAATTTGAAAAAAAAAAAGCTTAATATTGATTTGTTTACTTTATTAAACATTATTTTCAATGTAAGTTGTTTAAATTGATTCTTTTTTTTTTTTTTTTTTTTTTTTTTTTTTTTTTTTTTTGTGCTAATACTATCTTTTTAATTCTACAGACAGCTATAATTTCTTGTTCAGTTACAAAGCTCCACTGTTCAAATCCTGTAATTGCTGTGTCGAGAATTCCAATTAATTTGTCAATCGATTTTTTTTTTTTCGTTTTCAATAACCTGTCTGTTACTCTCTTTGCTATTGGTAGTGGTATATTTTGGATCTATAACCATACTGCAGATTTCACCATCCATTGATTGATGGATGGAACATTGAAATCATAATGAAAACCTTCCGTGGTATCATCTTCATGTATTACCCCTTCTGCACATTTCTTTATAACATGCATTAATTGGAAAATTTAATCTTTAGTTTACAATATCTGAAAACCATCAGATTTGCGACTGTCATGTTCATCATCCTCACCATGAAATGTGGTAGCTGGCTATAAATTATGCCAAGTATTTTTTTAAGTATCTGCAGACTGACCCAAGATCTTGTGATGCACCACTCGGCAGATTTTATGCTAAAATATTTCAAAATTTCTTGAATAGTCTTGCCATTATTCAGGAAATTTAACATGAACTTTACTACTTTTTATTTGCATTTCAGCTTGCGCACTATTCCGATATCCATAGGCTGAATGATGTTCATGCAATTTGAAAGAAATAATAATAACATGGATACATTATCTTTCACTAAAACTTTAAGTGAAGTTATAAGCCATGCTGTTCTCTACAATCAGGGCAATTTTTGCTTTATCAAGTAAACCAACCAAACTGTACTCAAATATTGCCAAGCCTCGGGTTTGAAACGATTTTCAAACTAGTCATTCATTAACGCTTGTGTCATTCAAGCTGTTTTATTTGCACAATATAATGGGGAAAATCTTTACTCCTTTAAATGCTCCAGGTTGTGCCTTTTTTTTTTCTTTTTTTTTTTTTTTTTTTTTCTTTTTTTTTTTGTGACTACAAGAAGTTTACACTGGTGCGTTCTTGCAGCATTTGTGCATGCTAAACTTGCTAGTCTCGCTTTGGAATCTTTACCACCAGTTGGAGCCTTTTCTGTTAGAGTTTGCTAAAGTATTTCACAGTAGATATTGCCAGAAAAGACCAGTCTCATCAGTGTTCCAAATTTCTTCTGCAGATAGCTTTTCATTTGTCGAATATGCGCATTCAGTTTTTAAGTTCATTTCTTCATGAAATATCTTAGCTTGAACCATTAACATTGAACCCATCAATGGCATGCCTTCACTGCGATGCAGTCTGGCCCATTCAATCATTACTTTGTCATAAGCATCACTTTTAACATAACGGATAATTTTTCTGTTATTTACTGCAAGTGGGGTGTCGGAATCCACAAAAAATTCAAAAAGTTCCTTTTTCTGTTTACTTGTGTCATATATAGTTGACTTTCCAATCCATGCACCTCACATAATTTTGAGATGGATACACCGTTATCTATTTTTTGCAGCTATTCCACTTTTTTTTTAATGGACATCAAAACATGCTTTTGCTTTGTAGAATGGAATTGCAGCTCCAGAATTGGTAACTTTTCAACATAATTGAAAGTTCAAACTTTAATTTTCGTAAAATTGTTGTAATAATTACAGCATGCAAAAAATAATAAGCTTGATCAAATCAGAAAATTAAGGAAGATCGCAATCTACTATATTAACTGAAATTCCTTTGGAATCAGTAAAGTATAATTTTAGCCTAGCTTAACAGCATCAGCTATACATTATTGGCTAAATTATGTCTTGCTTCTATCATGCACTGCGACAATGAAGCCTGAATTGTATTAGTTTAGTTATTTATTATACTTACATCTATTTCTTGCACATGCTTAAGGTTTATCTGAGTCCTGAATAAATAAATTCTCACATATACTTAAGCCTTATCGAAGGTCGGGGCTAGATATCTTACTGCCTGATGCAGTCTCTGTGAGTTCTAAATTCTGCTACCCAAGTGATTCCTTAACTTATATATTTTTGCCGCCACTAAATTGTGTGTCCTAGTTCTTTCTCTAAATTCTCAAAATTTTGTCATTCCTTAATTTTGTTGCTAGGTGCTTTGCTAAACTAAAAAATTTTCTTCTCTAAACTCTGCTGCCCAGTGTGGCTATACGAGTTATGGCACCGGTTATGGAAGTATGTGAATAACAAATCAGTTATTCTGAATTCAAATAACACAAAATGTAATCTTTTGGCTTAAGAGCATCATTAAGAAAATCTATTTTTAGCATATGGAAAGAAATTTTTGTTAAATTTTTCCTCATTAATACATCTTAGCACATTTAATTTAAACCTGTAATCATTGCCAAGCGTAATGTCAACAGAAAAGTTTCCCATACTCTTTGTTATTCAATCACTAATATAAAAAAAAATTTTTTTAGGCATCTCTGCATGAGTCATTCATTACTCAAGTTGTCATGTCTTGGATAAACATGCAGTGATGAAAGCAAAATATGATAAATAATAATTCGCCAGGTTGGCGTCAGGGATATAAAATATTAAAAGGTGTAAAATCAATGATATTTCCATGTAGAAAGTTTCAGTTTGAGATTATACCAAACAAATATGCAGCTACGGAGTCAAATTATTGATCACAGAAGTTTTTGTTAAGATAATTGTTTCTTCAATAACGAGGTATTTTATTTAGTGCCAAAGTGAAGTTAAGAATCGGGACTCTGCTCATGTTTTATCATGGGTGAAAAAATCAAATGCGTATAGCATATGTAAAAAAAATTATTTAAAAAAAAATGGGGTGTTGATGATGGCTTTGAGGTCCGGATTTTAGATCAGTCTAGATATAGACGTTCGGATCTCGAACTTTTTACTGTACTTATTTTCTAACCATGTGCAAAATGATAAATAGTGGTTCATACATTCACAGCTATCATATTAGTGAGAGATCAAAGTCTTCATTTTAGTAAACCTATCAAAACGTAAAATACACTTTAACCCTTTCATGCCAGCTGTCATATAGATGTGTTAGCATGAAGCACATGTATTTCCTGGCTGTGCATTGCCGTGACAGATCATTTTCTCAGAAACCTTGCCCATTATGTAATCGTGTCAGAGTTTTGAAATGTTGTAGAATTGAATATTTTTGGCATGAGATGTCATTGTATACCCATAGAATTTGAGATAATGTATCTACATATATTTTCTACTCAAGATGATGACTCACACACATATGGATTTTAATTATACAAATATAAGGCAAAAGACATATTCTAGACTTGCAGACTTCCTGACCGCTGTTTAAATGCGCATGTGGTATTTTTTGATAAATATTATGGGAGTCTTTTTTTCTGTCTCAGCATTAGATGTTTCTTTAAGTGCACACATAGTTTTTATTGATAAATGTTATGGGAATTTTTCCCCCCCAGAGCAATATGTGTTTGGATTTTTAGTTCAGTTTCTAATCAGGAATTATACCATTCCCTGTGTGTGTAACATGCTTTTGTTTTGAGCATTAGAACATCAAAGCATTAGATTTTTTAACAAATTATGTGAATCTAAATCAGGTTGTATCTGTAACTTTATAATTCACACAGTAAATGAAAGAGTTAAACGAAAATTTACGAATTATCTGGAGAAAAATTTGTTAAATCTCAATTGAGAACTTTCAGGTCAAGGGTACCATAACTTTTTAGACATGGAACAAATACTTGTGGAACTGTAAAGAGAAGGAAAGGGATGACTGAAAATCTGCCATGCAAAATGAAAATTAGTGAGATTTGGGTTTTGCAGGGAAAAAAACGTAAAGTTAACTGCTTTTAAAGCAGATGGGAAGTACTTTGTTCAAATGAAAATTCTAAGAACTGTGCATCGTGCTTTTACATTTATCCTACTAAAAAAGAGTTTTGTTTGCTGTCAATTGTAAATGTCAGAAGTCACTAATAGGGTGATAAGTATTAAAATAAAAATATTTAAACAACAAAAATGATATATATGAAGTATGCAAATAATATTTATATATACATAAAACATATACTCAACAAAACATGAAACAATATGCTCATTTTTCCATAATTTTATAGATTTAGGCTTCGTAGCAAAAAATCCTACATCCCTGGACAGACGCTTGCAAAAGAAACAATGAACACCAGTGGTATTTATACATTTGGTGTACTTTTTGGTCTTGAAAGGGTTAATATATCTTTCAGACAATCATTTCAGTACAAAGTTCAGGATCCAGAACCATTAGGACTTCAACAGTTCCAGATTTTGAGAATTTCTGGTCATCAGTTTCCAAATTTAGGTTATCAATGTAAATCTCTTAAGATGAGATGTAAGAATTATCAAAAAATATTTGTTAATAATATTCTTTAAGAAAGAGATATTTTGCATAAAGATTTTTACTGAATCACCACCACTTGAAATTAAATTGACTTGCAACCAAAATAGTGATATTTTCTGGATTTAAAACTGTACTTTCAATATTCGTTATTTAGTTAACTGATTGATATTTAAAGCCTTGTCATTGCAATGCAAGGCTTCATTTATCATTTTTTCT